GAGCTGGGGGGAAGCGCAGCTGCAGGCAGGGCGCAGATTGGAGCCTGGGGCGCGTCGCCTTTCGTGGTTTTCCAGACAGGAGAGACCTGAGCCTGCTTCAGGGGCGACGGGAGGCGGAAACGCGGAAAGCGGGGAGCAAGGCGGGGAGCAAGGCGGGCATCTGTATTCCTGCGGCTCAGTCAGTACGCGATTAAGTCTGGTTAGGCCTTAAAAACCGGACCGCGTGCAATCTCTCAACGCAAATTTCAAACCCGGTCAATGAAGTTATAAACGAGGAGCTCTGGTGTTAAAGTTCACACGCATTTTCAATATCATTAGACGTTTTTAGAGCGGTTTTAGGTTTACGGAGAAATTGAGCTGAAATCCGGAGTTCCCCACCACGCCCCCCGCAGTTTCTCCCCTTCCCGGCTTCTTGCGCGGAGGGGGCTGCGTTCCTTAAACTCTTGGCCGGTGCAATTCCGGGGCCTGGACAAACGTGCAAGGACACGTACCCCCACTCTAGCATCACACAGGGCAGATCCACTGACTTAAGGGTCCTCTGCGCTCCACCTGTTCACCCCTCCCTCCCTCAGCCGCTGACAGCCACTGGTCATTGCTGACCCCATAGTTCTGCCTCTTCCAGTACGTCACATACTTGGGATCGTGTGGTCCGTAGCCTTCTCAGATGGCTTCTCTCACTTAGTCACATGCACTTAAGGTTCCTCCGTGTCTCTTTGTGGCCTGAGGGCTCATTTCTCTTTAACTGAATAGCACTCGTCTGGAGGGACCACGGTTTGTTCATCCAGTGCCTGCCGAAGGACGTCTAGCGACTTCCCGGTTTGGGCAATAATCAGCGAAGCTGCTGTAACGTGTGTGCAGGTTTTTGTGTGGACATCAGGTTTCAGCCCCTTTGGGTAAATACCAAGGAGCGTGATTGCTGGATCACGTGGCAAGAGTGTGTTTAGTTCTGCGAGAAACCACCAAACTGTCTTCCCGACCGTCTGCACCGATATGCATTCCC